CCCCCCCCCCCCCCCACAGCAAAGCAAGCTATTGTGGTACTGTGTCTGCCAGAAGGCATATTGGGGTTCCATCCTGAAAGAACGGCAATCCAACAGTGCACATGATGTACAATAGCCCTAAATGCACGGGGACTGTGTCTTTAGCACAATGCTATGGTGTGATCGGACCCTAAATGAATGATGCCGCGTTCATCTGACCAGCGAGGGTGTGATACTTTGAAAATGGGTGAGTATTTCTCTGCTCTGCATAGGGATCCTGTAACTTGCAAGTTGTTGGGAGTGACAGGATTACAAGAGTGCTATCAGCCTCAGTCTTTTTTTTTTATGCCTACTGTGTACATTGTATGGTGCAGTCTCTGAGATGGCAAATTGTGCTGCCATTGCCGTCCCCTTCACTGACATGAACAAGATGATAGCACAAAAAAAAAACCCCACTTATGTCTACAACCCCACAGAGCGATGTCACTGCTAGATTTTGGAAACAAACGCCACCTCCGAGTAAGCCGGAATGATGGGGCTAATTGATGACTTACTATGTGTTCATGAAGCAGCCCCGAGCACTGCACACTACTTGCCACAATATTGGGCAGCTCTCTGGCTTCAGCAAAATGCAAAAAACAGCGGGCAGCTTTTTCCACACATTGTTGGGTGTCAGAGGAGGACAGCCCTACATCACCATCTGCCCACAATACTCAGGTTTTCCCATAAAGCTAAAAGGTGGACAGCCCCTTGAAGAAATCCTGGTTATCTGAAGGTATAATGCAGTATTCGGAGACAAAGCAGCCGAAATCCCAATTATCAGCAATCGCTTTAGACAACATTCAATCTGTCGCAAATCCGGTGCAAACACAACGCCTCTATATTAAAAATGGCAACATAAAGCACATAGGTTTCTTTTTCGGGAGCCCCGCCCAATACCTGTGAACAGAATTTAAAGCACAAAACTTTTAATTAAAAAAAAAAAAGGAAATTTTTCTTTTCCATACAAAAATATAGGTTATCATTAGGATGCCCGTTACTATACAGCATAGTACAATGCAGCAGTTACCTGGAACATGAAAACCTGCTTTCGAGTATGTACAGTTGTTACAGAGAGTCAAGCCTATATACAGCCAACTAACCTTCAAACCCAAACTACACAGCAACCGATTCTGCTCTTTACATCGTTCAGTCGTCACAGATCTGCCCTGCGTTTACAGCATATGAGGTTATGATCGGCAACTAGAATGATCAACCAAAAAACAGCAAGAACATTTACTTAAACCCCCCTAACAAAATGTGTTTTGTATTTCAAATGAGAAGAACCGTTTTAGTCCACAGTGCAGATTTTGCAGAAAAGAAAAATAATTCAGAAATAAAATGTGTCGATGGCTTTGATAGAACGCAACTGCTTTATGCTTGACGCCATTCCCCTGTTGGGTAGCACCGCCTTTGTAGCTTGCAGCCATGGTTGAGGCCCAGGTCACATCTCCAATGCCTTTGTGCTCTGCCATCCTCCGTTATCTTGCATATTCAACTGACTTCAGAGCAGGGCAGAGTGAGAGTTCAAGCAGGATGACAGTATTTGACAAGCGGAACAGACAAACTTCATAGGAAGCTGGAGCCACCCAACAGAAAATCGGCACATAGAACATTGCAGCACAAAGGGCTGTGTTGTCCCGTTCATTAAAAAAAAAATGTGTGTGCAAATTCTTTACCGATAACTAATTTGCTTTAAGGGCCTGTATGTGGGGGGGGCGGGTATTTTGCGTCAACGGATTCTTTAACTAAACAAGTCAATGGAAATGCAAAAACAGTTTGGAGCAGGTTGATGCAGCAAACGTAGGTCAAGTGCACCCATCCAAGAGCTTTGCATGATCCCACAAGCGTGTCAAACTGATGCTGAATGCAAGCAGAATGTATGTAAAAGCAGATTGCATTTGCCCATCAACACAAGCCCAAAGCCCCTCAACACAGGCCCTGTTTCCCCAAGAAACTCTTCTACTTACTCATGGGGGGTGCTGCTCAGTGATTTAACAGCCACAGACTTTCGGGAATCGCCTGTGATAAGGTCATTAAAGAGTAAAAATGCTCCTGTGACAGACTGCTTGTGTTATTAGACCATCAGGAGACCTCGTGCAGATTGTGTAAGCACCTCTGACCTCAATCAGGTAAATGTTATAAATTACAGAGCATCACCCCTGCATCACCAAAATGTTTATTTCTTTCCCGAAGAATCTCTTGCAATGGTTCGCAGTAACCTAAAGCAGCCAATCGCACATCAGATGGTCCGTGAACTCCGGCTGCGGAAGGTTTCGGGCACGGTGCAACTAAATCACAAAACATTACAGCAGGGGTAGCCAAGCTCCGGCCCTCCAGCTGTGCTGGAACTACAAATCCCATGAGGCATCGCAAGATTCTCACAGCCAGACATGACTCCCGGAGAGAGATGCATCATGGGACTTGTAGTTTCACCATAGCTGGAGGGTCCGGAGTTTTGCTACCCCTGCATTACAGAGTAGCTCCTGCATACTGAAATGACAGTCGTTAGCTAATGATCGTATTGGAACGGCTACTTTTAACATCAGGACTTATCACAGAGCAGTGACATCTTGCTACGCGTACAGTATCTGTTGTATTTCAAGCCCTAACAAAAACCTTTAGGCATACAAATGGTTGGATTGTAGTCTAAGCATGTTTGACACGATTCAGACCAATCTAAGCTTTTAACTCTTCACCCATAACGAGAAATAAAAGTGAAATAAATAAAAAAAAAAAACTCAATCCACAGTCTTGCTTTCAAGAACCCCTTTATAGCTAACAGATGTCACTTATGCAACTGGCAGTGGTGGCGCCCAATACGGAGGAATGGAGGACAGATCTGTGTGTTTCAGGAATGATTGGCCAAACTGTATAACTTTGGCCTCTACCCCGGATCCCCTAGCCAGCCCCATCCCCACCCCACCAAAAAACCTGTTATATCCCGATGCTACAAATATAGGTGCTTCTTTAAACCCCTTTCTCCCTGCCCTTTAAATTCAGCTTTTGTATTAACCATTTAATTCTTATTCATATAAAAGTTGTCCTTACTGCACAAGTGACTACAGGAGGTTTCTGGTGATACAGAGAGAAAAACCGAGCAACTGCATGATATTGAAGGTCTACACAACTTAAATCGATTCTCCAGGTGATCACTTTTCTTGCAATGTGTGAGTGTAGAGAGTGGGAGCTGATACTACCAGCACGCCTTAGCCTCCACCTTTTCTTCAGTCCAAAACCCGCCCAACCAGGCTCCTCTGGAGCGGGTCTGTGCCACCCTCATGGTCCAGCCCCTCTTTTAGGGTCAGGCGTTAGGGATGGCTGCCAGGATAGTGCTATGCTGTTCTCCACTCTTAAGCAGTCCTAAGAAAGGCCAGTCTGTGTTTTAACTCCTGAGCCTTGCATCTGCTGCAGTCGGTACTGGTGAACATTAGAGGTGCGCTGTGGATAATGCTGCGGGCTAGACACAGCAGAAATCCTGGAGCCTGGCATGTTTGTAGTCCGAGAGTCTGATCTGGACCCCTGAGGGGTGGAGTTGCCAGAAGCCCCAGTGCTGGCTTGCGAGTCTGAGGGTATAGAGTCTGTCCTGAGCAATTGGGCTGGACTTGCCTCACGACTGGGACCTCGGTGATGGAAGCTTTTCCTTGGCTGGCACGTGCCAGGATTACTCCCATAAAGCTGCTGGCTGTTGTAATACCCAGAGCTCCCGGAACACTGGGGACTGGGTGAGTCTGTGGAAGCAGTATGGGAAGGACTTGAATAGGAAGAGGAAATGACAGACGGCTCGTTGTGGCCCTGCCCCGTCCTCTGCAGTGTCCTATAGCTGTAACCACTGGGCTGAGCAGCCGGACCACGGAAAGGCGACGAGTTTTGAGAGAGGAGGTTGATCGTCTCTTGTTGAGGACTGTCGCACTGCAGGAACTGGGAAAATAAAAAGGGCAGAACAGGTGAGTAATGAGCACGGCTTGTACAAGAAAATCTAAACTGCAAATAAGTGACAAGGACTGAAATTCCCAAAATGGCAGGTAGAGGCATTTCTGCTACATTTCAAGGGTCAGTTTTCCCGAGCAGAACATCTGACCGGTTGTTGTGACAAAACACACACACAAAAAATCCTCCCAGGGCTTAATCCACTTCCAATAAACAGTTCCTGAATTGTTCCACTGCACAATTCTATGTAAGGAAACGTAACAACTAGAGAATATTTGGGGCCTAATCCAATTAAAATTCTTAAGGCCCATCTCTGCGCAAAAAGCTGCCAGGGTTTTTTTTAGGGGGTTAGGCAAGCAAATTTTTAAATGAGGGTGGGAAGTATGTTAAGGGGAGAGGGAGCCCAGAGCTTACCTTTAAACCAGTTGAGTGAGAGGACCGTATGCAAGAAAGCACCAGCTCAACATGTTTGGCACCTCATATTCCAAACTAGGACTCGTAAATCTTTAACTCTGACATCTTAATCTTATGTCTTGTATGAGCTGTCCATATCCTTTACAGCAAAATACGTTCTGTGGCTGCTTTTTATGTCTCATTTCATCATGAATACTTACCTGATAGTTGTATCTGGAAGGGCTGTAGGCGGCTGGTCCTTTAGAAACAGCCATATTTATCACTTCTGTGTCTCCGTCTTCTGTGAAAACAAATCAAAGTTTACATAAAGAAACCACCACATGTCGTATAAGGCCCCTTTCACACGGGTGGTCCCACCGGGTCCGCCTGTCAGTTTCTCCAGTGGACCCAATCGGATGCCCAATGCTAGTCTATGGGCAGCCGTGTGTAAATGGACGGCCGTCCGTTCACACCCAGCTCCGGCCAGGTTCAGTGTTCCGTTTCGACAGACCTGATTGTGCCAGATCTCATAAAATGGTGTTTACATCCAATTTCCAAAAGACCAATATAGGGTCTGGTCAATGCGATGGAGAAAAAAAACTGGAGGGAGATGGATGTCACAGTGGCAACATCCAATCTGTACTGCTCCGATGAGGAGGGTTTCCATGCATGGATCCCCTCCTGATCAGCCCGTATGAAAGGGGCTTAAAGTTCTTGCATAATAATTTTTTAGAAAAGTCACAAAAAAGACTTCTATTTAAACCTCCCTGTGAAAAAAATTATTCTGTGTAGACTAGGGATGCGCCGATGCCGATACCAAGTATTTGGTTGAATAATCGTACTCGCCCAAATGCTCCCGATACTGGAATTTCCTGGTACAGGTATCAGGAAGCCGGGCGGCAAGTCATTACATGCCGCCCACCTTCCTGATTGGACGAGGGAGCATGGAGCTGGCTTCCCAGCCAATCAGGAATGACTCGCCCCCTGGCTTACTGATTGGCTGATGAGCGAGCAAGAAGCCGGCCTTCCGGCCAATCAGGAAGCCGGGCGGCGTTTAATGACTCGCCATGGCTTCCTGATTGGTGGGGAAGCTGGCCAATCAGGCAGTCGGGGTCGAGTCATTACCCGCCCCCAGCTTCCTGATTCGTCAGAAAGTGGGCTACATGCGTCTTCATCATCTGGTGATGGAGCATGGAGCCGGCTTCCTGGCTAATCAGAAGCTGGGCGGCGAGTCATTACGGTCCACCCGGCTTCCTTAATGGGACTTCCGGTATCGGCGAGTACTGGAAAAAAAATAAATCGGTACCCTTACTCGATACCGAAAAACTGGTATCTGTGCATCCCTAGTGTAGACATTTCCACCATACTGATATTGCGGAGTACAATATAACAAAAAGAGCAAAGCAGAGTGGTCTGCTGATCTAAAATAAATATGCTGCTGTAAACGTGTTTCCAAGGAGCAGATCCATTCCTGCCGTCCAATACAACTGTTATTTATGCTATAATGTTGGCTAAAGTAAGGAGCAGCCGATCCAAGATTGCATGCAGTGTTTTTACTTACCAGATTCTCTGTCTAGACTGCTGTCTCTAGAAGGCGACCGTTCTCCTCGATGCGGTACTTTCACCCCACTCCGCAAGACACGCTCCAGGATTCCCTGCCCTTCACGTAGCCGCTCCACAGATGTTGGAACCATCCTGCCAATACATACATTACATGAATTAATTGGTCAGCAAACATGACAAACATTGATCAGGTTTAGAATAAAGTTAACCTTAAGCCCCATTACAATCCCACTTAGAATTTCCATCCAGCACTGTTCCATGACAAATAGGATTTCCTGTCCTGGTAACAATGGTCACCAGACAGACCGAGCTTCCAACCCTTTCCCATTCTATTCAAGTGTTTTAGGTTTAAATACATTTTAGGCTTATTATATCCAAAAGACTTCAGTCTGGAGTTAACATTTAACACCGAGTCTAGATGCTTGCTCAATCCCAATGCAATTAAACATTTCATTCACTTACCAGCGGCTGCTAATGTTCTCCACAGTCTTGCAATGACCGGAGCTCACTGTCCTCATCTCGGTAGGGCTGACATCTTCAATCTGAGGCATAGTGGGGTGGGAGGGAGAAGAGAAGCCGCTCTGTGGAGATGATGGTGCCTGGAGCTGCAACACCGCAGACAAATCTGTGTCAGAAATGGAGCCGTTGCTGCTTTGGCGTGTTGGAGTCCCGGCACAGCAGCGTATTACGTCTCCTCCAGGGGAAGACGTCACTTCCTTGGCTTCCTGTTTCCTCTTCCGGTACTCTAAGAGTGACACCTGTCCGGAGAATAAAAACAAATCCATTGAACATGCTTAAACAGATCCCGTCCTCCAAATTACAAAGCACAGATGAAGATGTGATTGTTGTGGGGCCATAAACTTTTTACCAATAAAATTGACCAATACTTCCGCTAACTCTGTGCCATCTATGTTCTAATCACATTTTTTATTATGCTGGTTTATGAAGCTGAGCTTTTGTCAAACAGAAATATGTTATGTACAACTGCTTTACATCAGACTTCTATTCAGCACTGCACAATCATAATACTAATTATTATAGGGGTTGAAAAACCTCACCCACCAGACGGACTCAGAATGAACAAGGAGATCATGTCCATCCACCGGTACCAGACTACTTAAAGGAAACTTGTCATGTGATAAATACATACGCAATTAGGGATGCAACGATACAGATACTAGTATCGGTACCAATGCCGAGTATTTGGGCGAGAAACCTGATCAGGAAGCCGGGCAGCGAGTCATTACACGCTGCCCAGCTTCCTGGTTGGCCATGGAGCCGGGCAGCATGTAAAGACTCGGCTTTCTGATTGGCCAGAAAGCCATCTCCATGTAGACGGCTTCCATGCTATTTGGGAAGCCGGGTGGTCAGTCATTACACGCCACCTGGCTTTCTTAAATAGGACTTCCAGGCTTGGTATCGGCGAGTACCGGAAAAACAAATATCGGTACTCGATATCGAAGCACTGGTATTGGTGCATCGCTGTACCCAATCATTGTCTGCAAAAGCTGTTTGACTGTCCTGCCAGACTAGCGCAGAAATAAGCAGATTAGAAACTGAAATCAAACTGTAAACCAAAGACCTAAAAATAAAAAGACCAAATCCAGGCAAAACTATTTTTCTTGTGATGGGAAAACATTAGGGACAAAGAGAACCTATGGCTTCCGGTCCTGGGGTTCGAACTTTGAGGAACAAAATTCATGATTTCTAGGGGTGTGATGGGTGGGTTTGGGTGAATATCATGCTTTTCAAATGTCTATACAAAAAGTATCTAGCCCGAAATGTAAAAAAAGGTTTTGGCTGGATCTGGCCTTTTTTTAACCTGGCCCCTTACCTTTTTTCTTTGTGGTGGGTTCTGAGGAGAAGACCTGATGCCCTCACAAGTCCTATCGCTGCATGGAGACATAGATCCTTGAGCGGATTCTTTTATAAGTCCAGGACCTGCCCTGCCATAATAGGCCTCCACTGGAGAGCCACAGTACATTTCTGATTGGGAAGGCTTCCTTTCTCCAACAAGAGGCGAGCCCCGTAAGGAACCGTCTGCACGGGGCATAGCATTCAATGGGGAGAAAGCATACATTAAATTGAACTCAGTCCGGAAAGTCTGTTCTGACGTTCTTAGCAGCATTGAGCCTTCTCCAGATTTTGCAAGAACATTTGACTCTGATAAGGGGCCGTACGGCAGAGACGTGCTGGGTGACTGAGCAGCAAGATCGGACAGGGCCGTGGTGACAACAGTTTGGTGCTCTTGGCAATTTTCCACAGATACATCCAAGAAGGTGGACTTGACCAGGTCAACATCAGGCCGAAGACAAGGCTGAGATCAGGAAAAGGATAGAGATGCGAAACAGAAAGGGAGACAGAATTAAAAAAATGAATGACATTTTCAAGCTATTAACAAAAATGGACACACAAATATTTTTAAAAGTGCAATGTCCCCAAAACTGGTTCCCCTAGACCACTCGCCACAGAAATTACAAATTATATTAGCATTATTGTCAGTTAATCAATGCAAATTACTCAATTAGCTCTCAACTTGCTTGATGGTAGTACTTCAAGACTAGGACTGGGTAAGGAAAATGGTTCTCAAAAAGGACCTAAACTGTGGAAATTATGCCACATAGGCAAAGAGGACAAAAGACTAGTCACCATTATTGTCTGTAGGCTCCCTGCAGCTGATCTTTTCTGCATTACTGACTTAATGTGCCCTTTTCTGCACCTTGTACCTGTGGAGGCAGCCATCTTGGTAAAGCAGTGCTTTGCATTCTTCTATCAGAGCAGTGTCCCTACTGGTGGGGTAATATTTAAGATGTTGCAGGAGAGGTGGAGGAAGAATAGAACATAATGAAGCAGCGAGATTCTTGCACTGCAGATCCTTAGGTACAGCTTCCTCTCCAGCAGAGAACAGTAAGCAGCACAGTAATGACATCGCCAAATCTCTAGCAGCATATCTACCTTTGATCTCACACTGCAGGCATACAGCAGCAATAGGGCTCAAGGCACAGGAATGCCTAGGCACAGAATTGCATCAATAAAAAAGGTAAAAAGATAGAGGGTATTTCAGATCTATTTTTGCTTGGGCAAAATAAACATTTCCAGATGATCCCTTGATAGCAAATCTTTTTTTTTTTTAGTTCAAGTCCAATTTGAAGTACACAAAGGCTTTCTGCTCTCGGTCACCTTTTGGCAAAAGACAGGAGATGGAGGCAAATACAGTACCAGACAGCAGAACAGAGATCAATAGTACTTATGCAAGGACACATCCTCTGTCAGGCTCAGATAAAAGTCATGGAAAACTTTGGTCAAGTGCTGTATGATGGGCTGCTGCTCTGAAGCTTCCCTGTTCCAGTAACAGTGGGATTGCTGTTGCTTGGTCTTTAGCCTCTCTCTCAATTTTGGCCAAAAACGTTGTTAAAAAAGGATCTAAACACATGCCTGAAAGAAATATCTTCGGCAGCAGATAGCCAATGTACCTAAAAACTAGTTTGTGTCTCATATATTCAGATCATTTTCTATTAGCAGAAGCCCAAATAAAGTATCAGGTGCTTACAGACTCCTAAGTGGACTGATCACTATCTGAAGTCTACAATCATCTGTCAACCAATGGATCTAAACAAACGTGTGAGCTCAAGACCCGATGTCTTTATGTTCAAACATTGTCTAATAGTCTGCAATCCTCATCAGTGCCTATATCCAACTTTTCAGAAAATGTCAAGTGAGGGGGCACTGACTGTTCACTGCTTGGCTGCTGTGGGTTACACAACTCCACTGCCATAGTAATATGTTGATAAAGCACCTAAGGTGGAACTCTTGCTTAGCAAGTAGTAGGTGGTCACATTCAACTGGAGTTGTTCAGTAATAAAGATGTTCTGCTACTCAATTAAGCAATGTATTTTAGAGTGGCAGGAAAATACTCCAGCATTAATAAATGGATACCCGGATAAATGAGAACCTTCACAGACAACTCATGCCAATGTTGTTTTTTGAGTCGATTAGACTAGGAAATGGTTAAAACCTCCATCATGTTTTGACTGTCCTAGAAAGAAAGGAAACTCTGGCAAGGGCAAATAGAACTAAAAAATAGAGTTCAAACGCTCCTCCTATCCAAAACAAAAAATATACTTTAGTCAATCTATAATAAACTAAGAATTTCAAGCTAGAAAAGGTTTACTTTCTTAGGATATGGCAAGCTTCCATGCATGCATAAAAAAAAAAAAGCGCAGAGGGTAACCCTGCATTCAGGGAAGAAAAAAAAAATGTTTGCAATAACAGCGCTCATATTATATCTTATATCACAGCGCATACATGTCTACATGCAAAGCATTGCAAGGTGATGAGAGGCTGAACTGATACTTTCTTCGATTTCTTTTTATGCCAATTTTTTCAAATCAGGTAAATAGAGTGGTACTTCGGTTCACGAACTTAAATCGTTCCACGATTCTGGCTGCAAACCGAATTGGTGGCGAACCGAATCAAACTGTGATCAGACCGCGATCTCAACTAGAGGAAGCCATGACCATGTGTCAGAGCAGGGAAAATGACTGCGGTGTTGTGCGTCACCAATGCGGAGTTTGTGAACGGGAGCAAAATTTTGCCGAACTTTCTGTTCGTGAACTGAATTGTTTGTGAAAAGTGTTTGTAAACCGAGGTACCACTGTACTAAATTTTAAACTGAAATATTAACCACCTGAAAGGAGCAGGTAGCAAACGTTTCATCCAGACTACTCAGATGAACAGTATCGGAGGAGGAACATACCGCCTCCCTCTCATAGCAGAGATGGATCCGTGTGGCTACGTCAGTTATACTGGCTGGGAACGAGCCTTGCAGGCAGCAGTGCTGGGCTTTCTTAGTAAAACCCCAGCATGGTTTGACAGCCATTTTTCATACGCTGCACTAACATCTTAAACCTCCATCCCTCCATTAAAAAAAACTGCAAAAAGCCAACTCCAGTTTTGGATACACTGAGGACGCGTTAAAACCTATGTCACCATGTGTGACCCCAATGAAGAGACTTCCTTTCTGTTCTGTACACAGACTATAACAAAAACATGGACAGATGTTCTACCCCCTCCACATGCTACCCAAAAAATAAAAAAAGCTTTTATTGCTACATGTCCCAATTATAAAAATCTACTCTCAACAGCAAAGGGAAAAAAAAAAACCCAAAAAGTTTTTTTGCTTGAGTTGCGCTTGAAGGCCCAAAAGTACAAGATCCAATAAGAACAGAATTTAGAAACATTTTAACAGTTTTTAAACTGAACTACAGCCTATAGAAAGTTTTATAAAAGTATCCTATGACTAGATCCCTTTGAGACCACCATGATATTCCCATGTGGTCTGTCCCTCTTTCCAACAACCGAGCAGAACGTGGCAGAGATGTAAAGGACAGTTACTGGCCTCACAAAACAAAACAAAACATGAAACATAAAAATGAGGTACTATATATAATTTGTTCACAATTTTCGAATTCTTCTGAATAAAATGTTTTCATCATCTAGAATTTTTTTTAATCCCATAAGAAAAAAACACAAGTGACAGAGCTGCTGCCCACACACTGAACACCTAAAGCAACAGACATATTGGCGATAACTACCTCGGGTGAGAGGGACTCGGGCCTATGCGCTGGGGAGCTCTCGGGGGAGGATATGTTCTAGAGGAGGGAAAAGCAACTTGTTATTCAGCTATTCAACACGCACAACAGCAAAATAAAATAAAAAGAAAGAAAAATACATCATGTAGCCACAGCTATTACATATTACTAGGCACATACTTAGTGTGAACGTCATTTGTCTCTACACCTGTAAGAGGAATACGTTAGGGTTTTGGATTGGTAATGCAAATAAATCTGTTAATTCAGCAGCGCCCTGTCACCTTCCTGTCAAAAAGGCCCAAGATCAGGTTGTGATGGGAAGGTTTGGGGGCCTGCTTTAACTTCATACCTTCTGCAATTTTTTCCCCCCCTCCTCTTTAATATTTGCTGTGCCAGGAAATCATTCCACTAGAGCGATGGGAGCATCAAGAAACCAGCAAGTGATTAAACCCGCTGTTATCTGTTGGAGATTGATTACAGATAAGAGTTATGTGTGTATGTGTGGACAAAATCAACATATTGAGCTCCGTTCTCCAATACATGCAAATTGTACTTTGTTTAAAACCCCCATCCAGGCAGAAGAGGGAGAAACACCAAAATACCCGTGCAGTGGAGCCTCCCCGCACGGCAAGGCTTATGTGCTTATTAAGTCTAGGTGTAGGGGACTAAGCGGTAAAATGTACCTTATTCCTCACTCTGAAAGGCTTCCATCACACTGAGGGGATCGCTCCCTCAGAAGACCCTTCCCTACTCTGCTGGTTGCAGTCTTTCTGACTCTAAACATACAATTAGGGGTGCACCGATGCCGAGTACTTGCCCAAATGCTCCGATACCTTTCCCGATACTGGAACTTCCAGAGGAAGTACCCTACATACAATGCAAGTCCCTACATACAATGCAGGACGGGGCAGCCCGGCACTGTGCATGAGAGCCTGCCCACAACTCAGAGGAGAGCGCCAGGTACCAGAAATCCAGTAAGCTCCGAACGTCCTGTAGTGGGCTGACAACACTGACAATTCTGCTCTGAAATAGCAGGAAAGGGGGAGAAACAGCATGCAGGTGGTATAGGAGGGAGCAGGAGAGAATGTAACTAATACGAACTTATAGAGATAAGTAATGGGAGTTGCTGAGGTAGTGCAGAACTGTTTGGGGCCAACAACACTGCTCGAGATTTCAGTGGATCAGTGAGTGTTGTCAGGTCACTAAAGGAATGTAGGAGCTGGCTAAGTTTATGGCAGGATCATTGGGTATATTTCAGTATTTCTAAAAAAAAAATAAAGACATCCCACGGGAAGAGCATGTACTGAAGATCGGGCCTATATGTTTTTCTGTTTAATTTTGCCCAATCACACATTTTAGATCAAAACACATCTGCATACTTGTCCCAGGTCAGTGACTACAAAACCACTGGATCAGCAAAACCACCAACCAGAATTCACTGAATATCACTTTTTTGGGTGGACTTTTTAATGTTATATTTTGTAGGGACTTGACAGTTACCAGAATTTAGTTCAACATAATAGCTGTGGTTATCATTTAGCCCAAAATAACTCAAAACACAGTTCTCTCTTCATAACAATTCCTCAATAATGATTATTATTGGCATAAAGCAGCAATAAAAACTTGATTTGCATTATATTCCGACTCGTCGTGTCGGTGTCCTAAACTAAATCGTATGAAGAGAGAACACTGATACATATAAAATACATAAAGGTTTAGCAATAACATTGATACATAGCAATGGAAGTGCTCCAGGCAGCAGTGATAGAGGGTGCAAACTATGACAACACTTCATCAGATGATGCTATGCGGGTCATTTCCTATGGAGTCTATCAATTTGCAGCTTGCTATTATTCAGGCGAGACTGACTGCGCAGGCAAACTGTGATCCGCTATTTTTAATGGAAACCTGAACGTCCTCTGATGTCATTTACATCAGGAAATATAACATGTGCAGATTGAGGGGAAATCACATGAACCAGAAATTCAATTAAATCAGTATACCGATTCTGTATCACGGTGCTAGAGTTGTGTGACCTGCAGCAGTCTTCCTACTTCTCATAGGAAGATTTCAGAGATATGAGGGACAAGGAAATTGCACATTTTACAAAATCCTGTTAATTGTACCCTAGTAAAAACAAACATTTTCCTTTCACACTATATAAGCAGAAAACAGCCACTGCATGCTATCTGCTACAATGTACTGTCAACCTCCGATGCGGGAACTTCCACAGCTGCCTCTGCCAATTCTCTATACTGTGCTGAGCGACCTCGGTTTTATTACAATTGTCATAAGCATATTAAAAGGTAAAGTGCCCAATTCATTATATTATTTAAAGCACTTGCTGTGCAGTTTCCCAAACACCCTCCTAGTGCTGTATTAATACTTTTGTGAGACTCTTGCTGCTCCTCACCACATTTGGATTTGCCCCCTTAAGAAATCACACAAGCATTTCAAACCAATGCCATGAACAGAAGCCCAAAAATCTCTTGTCGACAGTTCATGAAGGAGACATTTTTCACAGCTAACCTGCAGATTCTAAAACTGTAAAATTGCAGAAATGTTACCCAATAAAATGGACTCCAGAGAGGTGATGAACCTTCTGCATAAAACCAGAGGAAAGCAAGCTCTCCACAGCGGTTATTTTCCTGAGGAACATACACTTAAATGAGCATCTCCAGTTTACTTACATTCATTAGGTCCAATATTTTCCTTTCCAAAGGCTGGATTCATCGCCTATAGGGCTGCAGCTAACTATTATTTTCAGACTCAACGAGTTGTCCGATTATTTTCTCGATCATTAATTAAACTAATCGATAATGAGAATAGTTGCCAACTATTCTCAAACCATTATTGATCAATCGATTAGTTGGTTGCAGCCCTAATCACCTACCAAGACAACACACTGAACTTAAATCTGAAAACTCCTATTTCTAAAATATGCCCTTAACAGTATTAATTGTGAGAAATGATGAATATGTCTTCTTAACACCAAGGCAATTTAAATATGGAGCAAAGTACGACGACCAGCAAAACCCGCTATCCTTTACCTCAAACTGTAGTGGAGTATTGCAGCGGCTAGCAGCGAGAGATGGGATGGGAGAGAACAAGAGTCCATATCCATATCGGGATTCCTCTTCGCCGGGAAGGGAAGAGCTAGGTGTGGTCTGCATTGGACTGAGGGAATCTGTGGTGGTGGAATTGGGGAGGGCAGGGGGAAACTGTACTGGGCTCGACACCACGGCAGAAATTTCTTCCATGATGTATTTTGTCTTCCACTTTTTTAAAGGGGCTGTAACTGCGTGGGAAAAAAAGCAAAAGAAATTAGTAAAGGAGGAATATACATCAGTAATCTGCAGCATACTACTGATTGATCACATATAAGCAGAGCACATCAGAAGTTCATTTTCACGCAGCTATCTGCAAAATTTAAAAGCAGAAGTAGACCCAAAAAGTTCCATGATAAAGTGTGGAGGGGATAGAACCCCTGTCAGGTTTTGACCCCACTGAGATTCAAACTCGCCTGCCCTAGGTGGCACCAGTAACTAGGACAGGCAGTGAAGTGAAATTTCTTTAAAGGAGAATTATTAGGTGAGTGATTTTCACTCAGCCTCATAATCTGAGCCGACCTGTGACAATGAGACTGTCACAGGTCGGCTCAGTAAATCGGGAAGTGAGCGAACACATACCGGCGCTCGCTCACTTCTCGATCTATCCGTGCAGAGAGCCGTGACAGGGGAGGGACTGGATTCCCCCCTCCCCTGTCCGCTCTTCCAGCGCTGACTGGCGGAACGGACAGGGGCGGGTACAGCTGGCTCTGCCTCTACATAGGCAGAGCCAGCTGTCACTCACACAGCTGGGTGGATCCAGACATAATTTGTCGGGATACGTTCCGGCTGCGGCGTCTCAGTGCTCGCGGTATACTGAGCTTTGGGTGACAGGACGCTAGTTTGTGTGTCCTCCCGATACCCTTAGGAGAACTATGGGGGAAAACCCTAACCCTATAGTTCTCCTTTAAGTGGTTACAAACAGCAAAAATACTGCATAGTTCCCAATGCAACCGCTATTTCCTGTAGTTTTCTGGAGTCCCTCCAGCGCCGGTGCCGGTCTCTGATCCAGCGCTGACTGCTCTGTCTTCTGTGTCCCATGGGGTCTGTGCGGGTGCACGCTGCTGGGCTGCCTGTCTCTCGGCCGAAGAACTGAACTGCGCATGCGCCCGCCCCATGATCCTTTGCGGCCGCCCAAGAATCTTCAGATCTGCGGACGGGAGCGTGCGGCAGGGACACGGATAAGTATAAACCTGTTGGGTAACTTTTTTTTTCATGTTTTTGCATATATCTACTGCTTGCTAGCAGTAGATATATGAAAAAATCGGTGAGGGTTTAATAATCCTTTAAGGTGATGAGGGAGGGGGTGTTCTCTAGTCAGACAGGACCGACAACATTGCTTGACACTTCGGTACATTAAAGAAAACATTGTCAGCCCACTACAGACATTAGAAGCTCACTGGATGTCTGTCAGAATCTACAGATTTCTGTGTTTGCAGTGTTTTTAAAGAGACAAAACATAGGGAAGTGTGCATGTATTGCCAAGTACTGAACACTTAAATGTTCGTAATAAAGTACGGCATTAAAAAGTAAAGCGTCAATTTTTCTATGCAACATCCTTTATGATTTTCAAAAAGCAGGAGTGCTAAACTACGTATGAAAGAATGCAATAGTCACATAATGTTGGTAGGGGGCAGCAGCGTACCTGTATTGGTTCCATTGTTGGATGAGCTGTTGCTCTCATTACTTTGGTATAAAGGTTGGTTTTCCTGTGCAGAGTTGCCTGGCTGTGTCACAGCCTCTTCCAGGGATAGTTTCATCCAGCGCTAGCAGGGGGAAGAATGAGATTTGTATTGTTAGCATAAATCACAGTGGACTTGGTAGCATTATGTATTTGAGCATCATTATGGTTGTTTACATCGTGCAGTCATAATGCTGGATATCGATCTATACATTATACTGCTCAAAAAATTAAAGGAACACTTTTTAATCAGAGTATAGCATAGTGAGTAAGTAAAGTCATATATATCAGAGTAAAGTCAACAAAACTCCTGGGACATTGATCAGGTCAGTTAAGTAGCAGAGAGGGGGTTCGTTAATCAGTTTTCAGCTGCTTTGGTGTTAATGGAACAGGTGCAGTAGATGGGCAACAATGAGACGACCTCCAAAACAGGAATGGTTTTACAGGTGGAGGCCACTGACATTTTTTCCCTACTCATCTTTTCTGACTGTTTTTCACTGGTGTTGCATTTGGCTAGAGTCAGTGTCACTACTGACTGGTAGCATGAGGCGATACCTGGACCCTATAGGAGGTTGCACAGGCATGCCAGCTCCTGGCACATCAATACGTGCCATCGCCAGAAGGTTTGCTGTGTCTCCCAGCACAGTCTCAAGAGCATAGAGGAGATTCCAGGACACAGGTAGTTACTCTAGGAGCGCTGGACAGGGCCGTAGAAGGTCCTTAACCCATCAGCAGGACCGGTATCTGCTCCTTTGTGCAAGGAGGAACAGGATGAGCGCTGCCAGAGCCCTACAAAATGACCTCCAGCAGGCCACTGGTGTGAATGTCTCTTACCAAACAATCAGAAACAAACTTCATGAGGGTGGCCCGATAGTTCACCCTGTGCTCACTGCCCGGCACCATGGAGGTCGATTTGCATTTGCCATTGAACACCAGAATTGGCAAGTCCGCCCCCACTTGGCGCCCCGTGCTTTTCACAGATGAGAGCAGGTTCACCCCGAGCACATGTGACAAGACGTGAAAGGGTCTGGAGAAGCTGTGGAGAACGTTCAGCATGACCGGTTTGGTGGTGGGTCAGTGATGGTGTGGGGAGGCATATCCATGGGAGTGACACACAGACCTCTACAGGCTAGACAATGAAACCCTGACTGCCATTAGGTATCGGGATGAAATCCTTGGCCCAATTGTCAGACCCTACGCTGGTGCAGTGGATCCTGGGTTCCTCCTGCTGCACGACAATGCGCAGCCTCATGTGGCGAGAGTATGCAGCCAGTTCCTTGAGGATGAAGGAATTGGTATCATTGAATGGCCCCCACGCTCACCTGACCTGAACCCAATAGAACACCTCTGGGACATTATGTCTCGGTCCATCCGATGCCGCCAGGTTGTACCTCAGTCTGTTCAGGAGCTCAATGATGCCCTGGTCCAGTTCTGGGAAGAGATACCCCAGGACACCATCCGTCGTCTCATTAGGAGCATTCCCCGACGTCGCCAGGCATCCATACAAATTACTGAGTACCATTGTGAGTTGCTGCAATGAAATGTCAGCACAATGGACTGGCCTGCGGCATCATTTGTTCACTTTGATTTTTGGGGTGTCTTTGAATTCAGCCCTCTGTAGGTTGATCATTTTTCATTTGCATCAGCCGATGTGGCATCCTTTCGTTTCTAACACATTACCCAGTCCAGTATCCAGTAGATATCCAGCATGATATTTTTCCCCATTGATATCTGATGTTTGGCAGACTGGATCATTGCAGAAATGTAGATCTGGTTTCCACTGCACACTTCTGTGTTATCTCATAAGCTCTCCTAGTTCCTTTATTGGACTACAGAATGATTAGCATTTATGTTGTAGAGATTTGAGTGGGAGTGGTTAAGTAGTTTAGCAAACTGGGTAGGGCTGCAACCATTCACTTCAACAAACCAAGTGTTGGCCCATAACAGGGATTAAGGGCTGAGTGGATTTATGGCAGTCATTTTTTTTGTACTCGCAGAGTCTTTAAAGGGATAAAACATGTGAAAATGTGCATGTATAGCACAAATGTAATGCATATGTTTAGTTTTTAAAGTTTTGACTTGGTATACACTAAGTGAATAATATGGCGTTAAATAAATAGCACCAAAATCAAAACCACTAATCTGCGTCCTCTTTGCTGGGGGCTGGCTTTCTCTCAGATTTAAAGAATGGTCACCCGCCTGACATACAAATTCAATTCAGCCTTTCCACTTACCTTTTTACACGATCCATAAGTGCCATCCGCCTTTGGGGGTCTCCTCCGCCTCTCAGGCATGTAAGGAGAAACAAAGCGTATGTAGTGTTTGGGAGTTGTGCAGATGGAAGGGGAAGTCGTCAGTCCAGGGAGCATGTTAAGGGTGGTCGCCAACACTGTGGGATCTGTGGTGATCCGCAACGGCTGATCCATGGGATCGTCCTGCTTCTCCACCTTGTCGTTTAACCATTCTGTTACCTGGTACTGCAAAGGAAAACATGTTTCTTAGAGGCAACGTCAGCTTGCTAATAGAATGAATACAGCCATTTCGCAATTAATGTTACTAAAAGATCCCATTTTCATCTGCAGCCACTAGTTCCGCTGATACATTCCAATTCACAGCTAAAACGATGCAAATGATACCGAGATTGTTTGTGTGGCGATAATGAAACAGATCTTCCTGCATAGCAGTCAGTTTTAGAGAGGACATGGTAAAGCAAACACTTTCTAAATGTGCCCATATACTGGCTGGTTTTTAATGTACCGCCCGAAATTCAGCCAACATATGGGGATGTCGGCTCCCTTTCAGCCGGCATTCCTCGATCAGTTGATAAGGTATTCTGACAGGTGCCGCCGCTGTCAGAATACAATGCAAACAGTTGCGACTCCTCGATCGACTCGCTGTTTGTGTTGGAGGAATCGCGTCAATTTCTTCCGTTTAGCCCGCGGGTTGAACGGAAGAAATTGACAGGTGTATGGCCAGCTTTAGGTAAGATGCTGCAGTAAACTTTAATACAATGCTTGCCATGTCTATAGTGCACCTAGAGGACACTCACTTTCTTCTCTCAACAGACTAGAGTTTCGCTTTAATTAACTATGGTGAGAAAAAAATAAAAAGGGCAATGGCAATAAATTTTATTTCCAAACATTCATATATTAATCTTTAATGCTTACAGTAGTAAGCAGGAGCCAGGGCGCTCAGAAAAAAAAATCGCAGCCGATGATGCAGTCTAGCAAAATATTGCAAACCTTAAACCAGGGGGCAGGCAACCTAAGCACTCCTATGTTAAAGCTAGAAATCCCAACATGCCTGTGACTGTCCGAGTCTTACAATGCCTTATGGGACTTGTAGTTCCAAAGCAGCTGGAGTGCCAAGGTTTTAAACCCTTGCCCATACAGTCACTTATAACAGACTTATGTTGGCAAGCACAGACAAGCGCATCAGTGCATGCCTCCAGCTATATACTGTATACACAAGTACAGAATATCTTTAACGGGGAACCCAGTGTGAAACCATTCTATGTTTTCAGTATTACTAAAAACTGCATGCAAATTAACAAAACTCTGTCACAGGCCAAACATTTCACAGACCTTAGTACCATCAGGCTAACACAAATTAAAATGTCAGACTTTTCCTCTGCACAGGAAAATACCAACCTTTTTAGTCTTATGGTATTTAAGGCTACCACGGGTTGGCTGGGTCACTGTCTGGGTAACCGCAGGAGATTCTGACCCTTGTGGGGCATCGCCTGTCCCTAAAGCTTCTGAGACCCCAGGCTCTGTGGTTCCTGAACTGGCAGTTCCTTCCTCAGGCACTGGGGGTGCCAGTTCCACCTGCTGCGCCACAGATTGCCTCCTCCTCAACCTCTGAGCGGAAGCGCTTCGATACCGTGACATGCGGCTTCTTGGACGTGGCCTTGTGGATTTTGGTGTAACCGATTTAGGAGCAGGTTTCTCTGCAATTGTTTCCTATGCAAACAAAATGTTTTTAGGTGTAAATAGCAGAAGCAAACAAGCTACATATATACATTTTCTATGCTGGCTTTGATGATGTCACTAGAACCATATACTGTGTAACTTGACATTATATAAGGAAAATGTAATCAGATACATTCCTACTATACCCATTAGCCTTTTAGTAGCTGCATCCCTTACAAAATTAGATGCTAGGCTTTGACTTGATATGCACATTATCTGAAAGAAAACTTAATAGCTGCGGAATGGAATTATAGATTTTCTAAAACCTAATCCATTCTCTGAGTTTTTGCTGTTCTGTAAATCTCAGGACTCAATGAATAGAAATGCAAATCCTTTGGCGGGTAAACATCTCACATATATGCATTTATAAAAATGTATTTATCCATTTGCCTCAAGTTCTGCTCTAAATCTCATCCAAGAATGCAAACTGAAGTCGGACTGCAAAACAGTGATGCACAGATCGGATACATAATTACCTGATTTGGTTTGAGGGCTTTTTGATTCCTTTAGTCCTTGGTCACCATAACCTGTATGGATTATACTGTCTCATTGGCTCTCAAACCCTACTCCATAGAAGCCATGGTTTCTGTGCACTGCAATGATGATGGCCATAAAGTCTCAAACAGCTTTATGGAGTTTGGAATAAATGGCTCTGTAATATTAGCCTAAGTCGGCAGCTCTAGGTGTACATCTGATGGGGCATAAAACATTTGCATTGCTCTGCCCACTGTATAGAAATTAAAAATAATCTTATTTTTGGGAACAGTGACTAAATGAGACAAGTGACTATATTCTGTTCTAAGAAGTAGGGATGCACCGATACTAGTATCGTTGCTGAGTATTTGAGCTCATACTCGCCTAAATGCACCAATGCCTAACCCGATACTTCCGGTAACAGGAAGCCGGGCAGCGCGTCATTACACGCTGCCTGGCTTCCTGATTGGCCGGGAAGCCGGCACCATGCGCTCTCGTCACTTGTAATGACACGCTGCCCGGTTACCTTATTGGTCGGGAAGCCGGCTTCATGCTCCGTTGTCACCTTATGACGAGGGAGCATGGAGCCAGCTTCCTGGCCAATCAGGAAGTTGGGCGCTATGTCAATAAACAGCGCCCGGCTTCCTGATTGGCTAGAAAGCCGGCTCCATGCTGTCTTATCACCTAGTGACGAGAAACCTGGGGACGGCTTCCCTGCTAATCGGGAAGCCGGGTGACAAGTCATTACACGCTGCCGAGCTTCCTGAATACTCAGTATTCAGTATCGGCGAGTACTGAAAAAATATATATCAGTACTTGTACTCGAAATACCGGTATCGGTGCATCCCTACTAAGGCGGCTTTACTATGCTACGGACTGCTAAAGCTGGAGGACTTTTTGATTCCCTTATTCACTTGCCCCCATAACCTGTATAGTTATACTGTATTAACAACCATATCAAACACGGCTGGCCTTACCAGGGCTTGTGACGACCTCCTGGTGTTCACCCCTAGGGTAGGAGTGGGCACAGGTTCTGGTAATACAGGGCTCTCCGGTGCTGGCTCTGGTTCTTCGGGCTTAATTGCAGGATCAGAAGCTGCCTGATCGGTAGAAGGTGCTTCGGGCTCGGTGGCAACTGGTTCAGGTGGCTGTTCTCTGCGCCTCCTTCTCTTATCGGTGTTGTCCACAGACTGCAGGGCAGGTTCAGTTTTCTTCTCCTCTTTTGACTACAGTATTTAAAAAAAGATATATAAATACACAAGTTAAAGATTATTTTTATCATATTTTCAATTACAGCATTTCTTAGCAAAACCCAAGAGGCTATTTGAAGAAACCGTAGTCAAGGAAAAAGCAATTCTAGGGACATGCTCTCACACTTCTGCAATTGGAAGACAATTTTTGAATTTAAAAACTGAAGTAAACCCTAAAATAAAGCAAAGCTACACAGGATCAGAAGGAAACCAATATATATAGCGAATGGCTATTTCCATTAGAAGCACAGACATACATTTGTTATGTTCTCTGTATGCCACAGTAGCCCAATTTACTATGTGCTGGCTTCGTACAATAAAGAGAAAACAACTCACCCTTCTAGTTCGAAAAGTGGGCCCGGACTCCTCCTCCTCTTTAGTATCTTCCTCTTTAACTGCAACCTCCTCTTCGGCCTGTTAAATGACAAGGCATGGATGAGTTAGCAAAAAAGTTGCTTCCAAACACTTCACAGAAAGGCAGGATTGCAGTGACGCAATAAATCCTATACATTTAAAGTGACGCTGTCACTAGGTTACAAATAATTTACACAGTGTGTTTTGTGGGATTTGAAATAACCAATAGACCTGTTCCATATCTGCAAGTAACTTGTTGGGTTTTCAGCTGTACAACAGGCAGTCATAACTCAAGGCCCACTCAAACATTTCTGTGCACATCAAGGCGCTGTGCATGTGCAGAGAGGTCATTATTGGAAGTTCAACATAAATGTTTGCCATACAACCAGATGCTAAAGCTGACCATACACCTATAGATTATCTGCAGATTTTCTATGGTCAGATGGAAATAAAAGTGCAACAGATTCCTCCATCTACGATATACTGTGTGGGTGGAGGAATCTCCCGCTGGGCCAAGCTTCAGTATCTTGCTAGTCGGCCCCGCTGGGCTTCCAAAATACATAAACAATGCCAGCAGCCAATCAGATTGTCAGGTATTTTGAGAGCCAGCGGGGCCGACAATACTGCCGCTTGGCCCAGTGGGAAGATTCCTCCATCCACACAGTTTAGCGTAGATGGAGGAATCTGTTGCACTTTTTCCATGTGACCATAGAAAATCTGCAGATAATCTATAGTTGTATGGCCAGCTGCAAAGCACATAAAGAAAACTTGTACTGCCAAAACAGGGAGGAAATCCCTACTGACCTGTACTCCTGAGCAATGCTAGTTGTTAAACAGGACAGGAACGGAGATCAGGAGTTTAGACTTCACTTTATAACATTGCTTGTTCTGGGGACGTAATTCAAAGTACTGAGCCCAGTTACAGCAGGTAAATGGCACTGAAGGTCAAAAACGACAGTCTCCATATTTCTCTTTGTAAACGTTTTCTTTGGGCTCATCTCCCGGTGCTCCCCGTGAGGAAACCTTGGGTGTTTTTTTTCTTTGCCTTTTACTCACCTTTTTTTAATGTCTTGTGGGTGTAATGCGCTGGGTCTTCTTCCTCTCTGGTCTTTTCTGTGGAGGCCGGTCCTGGATGATGCAGAGAGCTGACATCATTCACACACTGCATCAATACATTTCGGGTAGGGCACTGTACGCAGGGGGCAGCTTAGTAACACTAGGACATCTTATGGGAAAGAAGAGGTACTGTGGGGGATGTGGGAGGGCTCCAGATATTTTTTTAAAAAGGGGCCCAGGGGACATTGAAAGAAAAAAAAAAGGACCCAGAGTTGGGGTGTACAATACAGTTCCACCAATAAGCAAATATATTATAAAGCAAATTATTATTATTTTTTTTCAAGTAGTTTAACTTATCTTGTTAGCCCTGTACAGATTTACACTATGACCTGTGGTATTGAGAAATAGAGATGTATGCTTGTTGTCAAAGAGAAGTAGTTTCATCTGTCCCTAATCCACCTAAATTAAACAAAATTATATATTTTACCTCGTTGTCACCAGTTGCTGAATCTGCAGCAGGGGCTTCTGCCAGTTCATCGTTCTGGTGAGTGGGGCCCTCGTCCAGCACATAACCCTGCCGCTCCAACTCTCTTCTTCGCGCCTTACGGCGCCTCGTCTCTGCTCCGATGGTCAACGCCGGAGGGAGAGTTGGCTGCAAGTCTGTGACTATGGGATTCCTCTTCTGTACTGGACAGTTCCGATTCCCTTTGTGGCACGCACAATCCACCTTATAATTACTGCAATGCAAGTTAGACAAGTCAGCAACTGCTGTGTCAAATTAAGGTGTAAAGGTTTCCTACTCATTCTGCTACAAGATTTGGCTTAGGCCTCATTCATACGAGAAAAAGGCGGCACGTACAGCTCCGTGCATGGCTTCTCGCACGCTGACAGGATGGATCCTGTCTGCGTCCGAGCCGGGACACCCGCACGGAGCTGCACTTGGGAGGAGCGTAGGGTGGCATACGGCCGCGTACTCCCATAGAGAAGGACAGGGGCTGCGTAGTAAATCACACGCAGCACCTGTCCTTCCCGGGAGCTGCCCGCTACAGTCGTTCACGCAGCACGGAGCTGTACGTGCCGGCCTTTTCTCGTGTGAATGAGGCCTTAAAGTAATTTCTTACAATGCTGAAATACAGATCGCATGCTCACTTACCAAAATGCAGCAGAACGCACATATACACTGCTCAACTTGATACGTGTGATAAGTCAGAAATGCAATGGAGTTTGTATTAACTTGTTGCTACGTGGCCACATATCTGCAACTATAAAACCTTAACAAGTCAATTACCTCAGTGAACAAGTCCCCAAGTGCATTGATGGATATAGAACTTCAGAGCCCGGGGCAGTTTCCAGTTAAAGGTTCATCCTTAAAATCAGGTATTTTTAAAATAGACATAAAACCATTTTAAAAAAAAAAAAGCCTATTTTATTTTGCCTATAGCAGCAAATTCCAGAAGTGAAAGCTGCTAGGGCGCATCTTTGCTGTGTTATTTGCTGATTTTAATTAAAGGACGAACTAAACCATCCTGGCTGTGAACTAGGGGAAGAGTATTTACCCCATCATCTCCATTAGTCCCTGCACGCTGATTAGGAAATATTCTGTTTTAGCTGTTCATCAACGATACTGTAATTTATCTGCGTGTATGAAGAAGTGGTTTTGCATAAGAGCGCCCCAGAAACGATCTACAGCCAAATGTCGGCAAAGAAGCCACACTTCGTTCCACCAGCAGAACAGCAGGAGATCCTGTGCAATGCCAGCAAGGCTGGCAGTAGGCATTACAGCCCTCGGTGTATGTCGGCTTTTGTTAGCAATGTTTGTGCTATTCTGCAGCATTTTTACGTTTCTAAACCTTCAGATTTACAGGCATTGTACATGCAAAAAGGGATCGACTGTGGATATTAACAGCCGAAGCCAAAAATAAAACTGTTAACTGTCCTAGGGTGACAACGCTCACTCATTGCACTGTATGTAGGAAGCAGCAGCTTGGCCACACTAGGCTGCTTTCCTGATTTGGACTACAAACACCTACCCCCTTATATCAAAGCATGGGAGAAGGTGTTATGCAATTCAGAGAAATGGGAAAGCTAACATTATAGGGATGCATGGATACTAGTATCGGTACGGATACAGAGTATTTGGGCGAGTACTCGCCCAAATGCTCCGCTATTTACCTCTGATACCGGAACTTCCCGTCAGAGGAAGATATCCCTCTGACCGGCAGTGCCAAGGGAGCATGGAGCTGGCTTCCTGATTGGTTAGGAAGCAAGGCTGCATAGCAAAACGTGAAGCTGGCTTCCTAGCCAATCAGGAAGCCAGGCTGCCTAGGAACAAGTGAAGATGGATTCCCAGCCAATGAGGAAGCCAATGGGTCAAGACGTGCCGCCTGGCTTCCTGATTGGCTAGGAAGTCGGCTTCACGTGTTGCTAAGCAGCCTGGCTTCCTGACCAATTAGGAAGCCAGATAGCACCTAGTTACTCACTGCCCCGCTTCCTGATTGGTCAGGAAGCCAGGCAGCCTCTGAAGTCGTTTGTTCGCTAGAACACCGGCTTCACAGGCGATCAGGAAGCGGGGCAACAGGACGAAGTCCTGATAATCTGGGCACAATGCACCAGTACTCGCTATTGGCGAGTACCGAAAAAAAAAATATTATTACTACTAGACACCGAAAAAACGGTATTGGTGCATCCCTGTAACATTACTTGTGATTTTGCACAGAAAGTTACTAGGACAAACGTCCAGGTTTCTGGCAGGTATTTTTTGTACTTGAAGAAAACTAGTAAAAACAGACTCGTAAGCTGAAAAATATTACATTTTTGTCCTTGAGTTTAGATACATGTCAAGACATCCTAGACAATTTTCCCAATTAAGTTACAGAACAAAAACATAAGCAGCAGCAGAAACTCCAATTTTCCAAATCGCCACTGCTAAGAGCTGAAATTCCTTTCCAGGCAGTTAGAATCAAACAGGATCTGCAGAGAAGGACAAATAATTTCACTTCATAGCGATGACACAAACACATCAACCTCATCATATCCATGATGGCCGGTTGCCGAAAGCCTTTTTTTAAAAGTAGAGATGGAGCCTAATCTGCTCTGACCACAACGAATTCTATTTAAATCTATCTATCCATGCTTTATGGAATGCCAGGTAAAAAAGATGACATTTGAAATAGAAGCGGACACTCACCAGTTACTGTAATCATAGTCAAAAGCAATGGTGACCTCCGTGTCTTTTGCAATAGCAGCAATAGGATAAATGCACAGATGAACCATCCCTTCTGAGATCATGTGACGGACCTAGGTAAAGCAGTGGTGTTAGATAATGTACACTATTACCGGATGAAATAGCTAATCCCATTATACCCGATAAAAAGATGCCGCTACTGGCTTTAATAGAAAATAAATGTGTATCTTTAAAAAAAAAAAAAAAAAAAAGAAGAAGATCCTTGGACAATGTCATCATTGTGATACTTACGGCTGTTTTTGATAAAATGTGGTCTTAAAACAAGCAGGGTTACGCAAACTCCAGCTGTGGAACTACAAATACCATCATGCATCTGCCTCTGGGATTCATGCCTTTGGCTTTGTCATGCGATGCCTAATGGGATTTGTTGTTGCACCACAGCTGGAGGGCCGGTGCTTGCCTACACCTGGCTTTAAAGAAAACCTATCAAAAAGGTATAAGCCCTGTCATCAATAACTTCCTTCTGAAACTTTTCAATGACTGGTTGCTTAGGTACTTTCGGTCTCTGACCCTGAAAATGCATGCAATTAAGTTAAATCTCCCGATTTGCATGCTTGTTCTGGACAGTGACCCAAATTACTGAAGCAAGCCCATCAGCACAACCGGGCAACTAGCGTTTTTCATGGTCAGCCTATCTCTTTCATAACAGGTTTCGTCTCAAGCTGGCAGCAGTAAGATTTTTAACAGAGCAAAAGCTGCCAGAAAGGTAAACCCTTGCAATGCAAAGTTGTGAGAGACTGCTACTGATCTGACAGGTCAGAATCCCAATGTGTACAGATTGAGAAATGTTTCCCAATTCTTAGTACCAAAGTATACGCCGCCACTCATGAATAATACGCAAACTTTACTAGGTGAATGACGGTAAATAACTCTTCCGAGATATAATAAGCCAACCAAAGGGGGACTATAGTGCATTTTCAGAAGGTACACACCGAGTTATTTAACATTCCCAATGAAAATTGTTGAGGCAACTTGCACATTTTACGATGCTTTCTGTTCCATGCTGACATCATTACATATAAAACATCTTTAGTTACTCCCACAGTAATCATTTATGAGTCAAAGAAACTGCATCCCTGCTGAGATTACAGCATAAGTTACGGCCATTGTATAGCTCTCAGTCTCAGGAGAATGAACCAATATTGATGTAATCATTAAATATCAGTCACTGAGTATGGCACTAAAGAGAGCTGGCACGTGTAATTAATGAAATAAGGCTGCCCTCATATTTATATACGTTTAGAAATGATACAAAACAAAATACAAAAATACATTAATAAAAATCCATCTGATCACATCCATATACATAAAAGTAACAAAAATAAAACTGATTTCCTTGGAATTCCCCACGCTGGATGCAAAGCCCACACTATTCATAGATGAGATATATAAGCAAAGTGCCTACCTCAGCATTGGGTGTACAGGACCGTCTGATAAACCTGGCATCGTTCCCAAACGTACGTGCATCCACACACATTTCCAAGCCGTTGAATTTGGAGTAGAATAGAACAAAGGGGTATGGTCTGGGGAAACAGAACACACACTTCAGCATTAAACATGGGGGGTGGCAATCCATGAGATAAGATAGGCAATTAGCATTTTCAAAAAAGCAAAAACAGTCAACATATTGCATTCAGTCTTAAATCCAAAGCGCTGTCTTGGTTATCATCTGAGTGCACTGGATTTTACCTATAGGTGTTCTGGCACAATAATTTATAATCAGTCAGCTTAAAATTTTTGCCTAAATAATGCAAGATGCCATTAAAGCCACTCACAAAGATTTATCTCGTATACACAAAGAACTACAGAATCATGTATACAGGAGTCAAACTACAAACTTGGGGATATCACAATGGTCACTCAGGCAGTGTGTGCAGGAGAGGAGTGTAGAGTATATATGATGACAGGCAGTGTGTGCAGGAGAGGAGTGTAGAGTATATATGATGACAGGCAGTGTGTGCAGGAGAGGAGTGTAGAGTATATATGATGGCAGGCAGTGTGTGCAGAAGGAGTGCGGAGAGTATGACAGCCGGCAGAGTGTGCAAGAGAGGAGTGGGGAGGGCATGACTGCCGGCAGAGTGTGCAAGAGGAGCGCCGGGGGTATGACAGTCGGCAGTGTGCAAGGTATGATGGCAGACAGTGTGTGCATGAGGAGAGTATGGAAGGCAATATGTTAAGAGGAGGCCAATATAGGGGTACTAACGTTTGGGAGAGTTAGCAAGGAGAGAAGCTCAGGGAGCTAGAGGATGTGACCTATTCCACTCTGCTGTCCTACCCTTCACAGCACATAGCAGTAGATGTGCAGACAGGAACAGATGCTGCACAGCTGGGAGCAGCAAGGCAGAGAACAATGGTTGCAGAGGTGTGGGAGGGCACATTAAGGATGCTGGCATGGCTGCAGGTACAATCCTCTCTTTTAGGCCTCCACGAGGTAAGATTGAGGGCGATGGGAAGTGAACAGCAGGGAAGAGTTAGAGCTTAAGGTGAGGAAGGCTGGAGTGGCTGGCTTGTCCAGGGTCTTTGCAGCCGCTCTTTTTTTAACTGCCTCAGGCTGCTGTCGCTGAACTTGTCACAGATATGTGGGTGCTGCAGGAGAAGGGCTTGGAGTACCCGAGGTATACTGCTAATCAAATATTTGTGGGTAGATATGTATAATAGATAGCTCGACTTGATACAGACTTACAAATGATAAGTAAAAAAACAACACGAAATGTATTTTTTTTCTTTTAAATGCATTTCACTTTTTAGCCTATGGAGGGAAAAACCACAAATGCCGGTGCAGAGAGAAACTTACTTTTTGAAAAAGTGCCCATTGACTTCGAACTGCTGCCGTAACATGACTTTGCCCCGGTATTCAATGACTAGAGTGTTCGCCGACAAGTCTTTAGCCGCACGCAGGATCTTGCGATGCTTTTGAACACGTGCCACTCTGCCCAACTGGAACTGTAAACAAGACTGATAAGAGTTAGGCTACAGCAGGCTAAACACAAAGTTCAGAATTAATCAGACATTATAAAAGTCAACTACACCTGACCAAAAAAAAAAAAGACTAAAATCATTTGTAGCTTTAAACATTTGAAACGGAAGCATGTAAGACACTTCAACAAGCTGTGGCATCATACCTGCATCTGAGAGCCCAAAACAGTGTTGTTACAGGACAGTTCCGTCTTTTTAATGCTTTCGGACAGTCCCGCTTTGCCTGCCAGCTCTTTACTGGAGCGAACGCTCCTCTCCAGCAAGTTTTGCATATCAGCGCTATACTGGTTAGTAAAAGCTTCCTCATACTGGTCAGTCCAAAGCCTGATGCGGTTCTCCCAACCTTCTGTTGTGTTCTCGTCCAAGGTGTGAGCCTCAGATGGAGAGTTCTGAAGAAAGAAAGGAAAAATGCCTATAAGATCAACAGAGGTGCTGGGACACCAGCCAGATGAATTTGAAAACACTTGACACTCAAATTTGTTCAAATGCTGATTTTAGTGAAATTTGGTAAACCTGGCTTGAATTCACGCAGAAGTGTTTAATGTAACACGGGTACAAAACAATGAGAACTCCAGATCTCTCTCAAGCAATTGACTGGGAACCGTCGCTTGAGAGAACACTGGTTTTCAATTTGATTTTAACCATTTATAAACTGATTTTACCAAACTGCATTTTTTTTCTCCACATTTTTAAAGGCTAAGTTTACCTTTTGCAAAAATTAAAGAAATGCATATTTGCTATTACAAAAATACATTTTTTCTTTCATTTTCGCAATCAAGACCGGAAAAACATTGCAATGGTGATCACTCGATCAGGGCTGCAGAGCTCAGGCTTCTGCACGTTCTCCTACAGGCAGAGCTCGTACGCAGTTTAAGTTAGGAGAGATGGGGTTGGACGGCTGGACTTGAAACTGCATTAAATCACCTCATACGGCATCCAGCCTTTTTTGTAGTTCATTCGTAATCCAATCCCACATATTAAATAAGGTGAAATAGATGCAGCTGCCTGAGGAGTCATTGCATCCTATGTACATTGGACATGGTAATTGTGTTAACATCCTTTCACTCAGGATAAAATGAAATACCAATACAACCAGGGCACATCTGAACTGCAGTACGTGGCCCAAAGAACTCTCCTGATAGTGGGGAAGGATCACAACAGAGAAAGGACAGAGGCACCTGTGAATTATCATCTATCTCTAGCTCTGTACCTTTTTCTCCCGTGCTGCACTCTCGCTTTCTCTGACAGAAAGATTGTTATATTTTTCAGTAGCTGAGCTCTCCAGCATCACTGCTCTACTGCTTGACATCAAAGAGTAGCAGGAGCAAAAAAAACAGCTGGAGAGTAAACATTGAGAGCTCTTTGTACATAAATGAAGCAGTGCAGACTTGGGAAGGAGGGAAAGCCCATTCAGTGTCATTATGCTGCAGGAGCTCAGTCCATTTGGACCTATAGATTACACTGCAACAAAACTGCTTAGCGAAGATCCCGGGTTCTACAGCTTTCACTGAAAGTACTGTCCACAGGAAGCATCACTCACAGGCCAAAGGAAAAAAGTAGAAATATTGTTTCAAAGAGAATTGAAAATAAAGTGCCCCTCCTACATGTTAATAGCAGCTGGATCGCATCAGTGACTGAAGGTAGTCTTGGCTTATCTGCGTTGTCCATAGCTGCTAGGTCCTCAGTTTGCATCCCTCTGATTTCCATATAAAATAATATATAAAATCGGCTGCTCTAGGCAAGACAGGTTGAGGCCCATAATTGCCACATGTTCTCCAACAGCCAATTATTATTATGATTATTATACAGGATTTATATAGCGCCAATAGTTTGCACAGCGCTTTACAATATAAGGAAGACATTACAGTCACAATACAATTTAAGACAAGATGGTAAGGAGGGCCCTGCCCGTGAGGGCTTACAATCTAAAAGGGAGGGGCAAGTGATACATGAGGAGGTAGCTGTGCGGGGATGATTGTTTGAGAAAGTGATTGTTCAGTGGTTAGTTAGAGGTGGGATAGGCTTCCCTGAAGAGATGAGTCTTAAGGGATCGCCTAAAGGCAGTCAGTGTGGGAGATAGACGGACAGGTTGGGGTAGAGAGTTCCATAGAATGGGAGACACTCTAGTGAAGTCCTGGAGGCGAGCATGGGAGGAGTTGATGACGGAGCTGGAAAGCAGGAGGTCTTGTGAAGAGCGGAGGGGACGGTTAGGGTAATACTTTAAGACCAGGTTGGAGATATAGCCGGGGCCAGAGTTGTGGATGGCTTTGTACGCGGTTGTTAATATTTTGAATTTTATCCTTTGGGCTATAGGAAGCCAGTGTAGGGATTGACAGAGGGGGGTTGCAGACACTGAGCGGTTGGTTAGGTGGATGAGCCTAGCAGCTGCATTCATGATAGACTGAAGGGGGGATAGCCTGTCTAGAGGTAGGCCAATGAGGAGGGAGTTGCAATAGTCAAGACGAGAGATAACAAGGGAGTGGATGAGCAATTTTGTGGTATCTTTGGTGAGGAAGGAGCGTATTTTGGAGATGTTACGAAGGTGGAGGCGGCATGATTTGGATAGTGATTGGATGTGGGGGAGAAAGGTGAGGTCCGAGTCAAGGATGACACCTAGGACCTTGGCATCGGGGGAAGGCTGGATAGTTGTGTTAACAATCTCAAGGGAAAAGTTGGGGGAAGGTGCACGGGCAGGAGGAAATATCAAGAGCTCAGTTTTTGAAAGGTTGAGTTTTAAGAAGTGTTGCGACATCCAGATAGATATGTCAGTTAGTAGATTAGTGACACGCAAGGACACTGAGGGGGAGAGTTGCGGAGTAGAGACTCTGCAACATTTTTTATGTTTGTAGAAGACAACTGAGCATGCAGTACTGTAATATGTAATTATTTGCCAATGGCACAGATCAGCAGAATTTACTGCCATATAAAAAATAAATTCCCAAGATACCAAATGAGAAAAAATAAAAGGTCAGAGTGAAAGCAGAAAAAAAAACAACATCAATAGATCCTGTGTAAAAAAAAAAAAAAAAATTATGGAAAAGTAATTTAAATAACCCTTTTTTCAGCAGTCAGGTGAATGGTATCCTCTTTGGAGAGGTAAGCATTGTAGGTGGAGAATGTCACCAGAGCTCAGGGTCTTCTACAAATGCCCTGCCTCACTACTGGACTAATGGGATAAGTGTTGACAGCAAACGTCCCTACACGAGCAGCTTCAATCATGCCTGACGCTAGTGCAATCCAATGACTAGAGGACCTAGGCCATGAAAAAGGCATGGTGTGCTGTAGTCTACATACAGGAGCAAGCACTGTTGAGCAAGCAACAGGAATTTTGCCAAATCACCTGCAAACACCCTGAACCTGGAGTAGTATATTGCAGTTATAAAGAGTGAACAAATGGTGAAATGGATTTCTGCGTTAACACTAACTGTCCGTTTCCACAACTATGCAATATTTGTTTGTGAACTTCAGATATTGATGGGAAAGCTATAGGATAAAAAACTGTTAAAATAACGGTTTCCTGACAAACTCACCTTCATTCGTAAGGACTTGCGAGAACCTTCTCGAAATGCCTATACATTTTGAGAGAGGGGGAAGAAAAAGGAAGTCAGAACACTGAGAACTCTGGTATGTGCAATTGTTATGCAAGTCTATAAGAACTATGACATCACTCATATAATCAATGTCACTATACTGACCAAACACTTCTCTACCGTTGTAGAAGGCAAGTGGGGGTATTGCAAAAGACCAATCCTCTGTACCTTTATTTTCTTGGCCTTTGGAGCATTACGGGCCTTTTCGGTGCTTTTCTTCCTCTTTTTGGGTTTACTCCTACGGACCCGGTTGACCGTGAGTGTGATGCTAGTGGGTGTATGCTGGGTGGCTGTGTAGAGCACGGTGGATGGAGACAGCTCCTCATCCCAGCTCTCTGTAGCACTGCTCTCCCCTCCTGCAGATAAGATAAAACATATTTTGAAACAAACAGGACCCTTCAGAAAGTAGAACAAAGATGTCTGCCCACTTTGATATCCTGGCCTTCATTCTCTTCATGTTCAGTTTACCACAGCATGCCAGAACTTGGTTGGTCCTTTTCTTGCAAATTATTTGAAATGGCGGCAAGACAACAGGAGCTGACTCCTGAATCCCATTTTTGCCCATCCCAACAACTAGGATGAATATAATGGCCATCCTAGAAAAACCTAGTCAAATGCCCAAAGTTTTAAAAGGACCTCCAGATCAGGCTCGCATCTTTCAAACCAAAATATGGCATCTACACTAGACAGACAAAAGTTTGTGGACACCTGGCCATCACACCTACCTATATGGCCAAAGGTAGGTGGTCACCCCTCGAAATGGTTAACTCTAGGTGTTAGCAGTGAAAGGTAAAGTTAATGCTGCAGCATGCAAAGACATTAAAACAACTGTGCACTTCCAAGCTTGTAGCATCAGACTGAGGGAGGTCTTTGCCTGTACCAGCTCCATTACAATATGCTTTTTCTTATTTTTTTCTTTAGGAGGAACTCGAGTGGCCTGCACAGAGCCCCGACTTCAGCCCTAATGAACAGCACCTCTGGGATGAATTAGAACACCAATTGCGAGTCAGGTATTCCCATCCAACATGAATGCTCCCACTTATGCGCTTTTGGCTGATGGGCACAAACTCTGACGGACACACTCCAAAATCTTCTGGAAAGCCGTCTGAGAAGTGAAGGCTGTTATAGTTATAACGGTGGAAGCCAACTACATAATAATGCTCAGTAGTACAGTCACACGCATAACCTAGGAAAGAATCCACATACTCTACCTGCATGTTTTAGGAGAAGAGCAGAGCACATGGAGCAAATACTAAAACATAAAAACTGCAGACAGAGCTCTGTGTGGGCAGAAAACCTAGGAGCCCAACAATGTCAAAGTCTATGAATGCTCGGGTCTTTTGTGACCAAAGCTACCTCCAATTTAACCAGCGAAGCCAACACATTCTTATACTAACAGAGAAAGAAAAGAAGAGGCGGCAAATGATGACTGCTTACCTGAGACATTGTCCTGCTTCCTACGATTCAGCTGAATCACCTTTCCTCGGTTCACACCCCTTTATTCACAAGGGGGAGAAAAAAAAATGTAAGTGATGAAATGAACCACTTTGCTGCATAAAAGTAATCATCACAATAAAGAATGGTAAGCAATCAGAACCCATTAGTAGGAACAGACTGCCCATATATAAAGCGGTTGCAAGAACAGTGAGACACGCCTGACTAACCTGCATTTCTCGCACTTCACAAGGAAGCCGTCCGCCGCGGGATTGCAGGTGCACCAGCTATCGATTCCCTCACCCTCAGAAGAGCTGTCGCTATCTCCGGAGTTCTCTTCTGGTGAGTGAATGCCGTTCAGTTCTGTGGCACGAGGAATGATAGCCTGGACAGGAGGGGATGCAGGGGGTGTAGGTGGTGGAGGGGCTCCGTAGTTGTGATCCTGTGGGGAATGACAGGCTTTTAGTCTTCAGCTGTACCACATAAAAACTGCAGGCAATTAGTCATTTCTGACTGCTGTACTAATATAGGTGAATCTGGTAGGATAGAAATATGGCGGCTGCTCTCCTTTTCAGAATCTTAGCACATACAAGTAATGCATTCTGCCACTTTACTAACTTGTTTATAGCATGCATGTTCCAGGTCTGTGATACATACTTGGAGCCAGCCAAACAGCAATGATAGCTTCCAAACCTACCTAATGACCGATTCATTTAAATTAAATGTCTGCAAAGCTGAGCACATCAAAATGAGTACAGAAAAATAATAGGAAGACCCATCCAAGTCCTTGCATTACAAAGCTTGTATACCTAAAGGAAACAGTACCATGAGACTGAACTATGTGTGGAAGGTTTAAGAAAGCAGTGTAACATACTGGCGCACTGTACTTACCGCATAGGGAAGACCTCGGTATCCGTGGCTTTGGCTGCCTGGATAACTATGAGCTGTATAGATGGTCTTTCCGCTAACTGCTGGACTGGCTTCAACTGATTCAGGGCTGAAGGAGAAGAGGACACTTGTTAATTTTCAGGCGTACAGGTAGCTTCATACCACACTAGACCACTTCTCATATCCAGCTCCCTTAATGTCAATTCTATAGGCCTGCATAGCCCCAACCTCTATGTTCCAAATGCATAAAATAAAGAAGTCCAACCGCTAGACTGACCTTTGCATTGCAGAACAAAGCATACACAGGGCCTTGGGAAGAAGGGTAAACCTGTTCTGTCATGGTACCCAAGCCCTAAGCCTGTATGATTTTCCCCACAGCTTAGGTTCGCATTTTGTCAGAAGCAGTTTCAAGGTAACCTGTACAGGAAGAACATGGGGGCTACCATTGCTGCCAGGAGCCTGACTGTCATGCTGATCCAACGGCTTCACTAGGGTACTGACCTGAAACCAGTATGCTGATCAGGGGCTCTGCATATTTTTTGGCCTGGGTTAGTGATGTAGAAGGTACTGAATCCAAGCAGCCAAGCAAACAGACATTTTTAGGACAGTCAGAATTGCAGCCACCCTATTTCCTGCAGTACAGGTGTCCTTTAAAGACACAGCGGCACCAATTAGGCTTCCGGAACTTCCCAAGCATTCAGAGACAGCTGAGAATGTTGGTCTAAGGCTGCAGCATCTCATTCGAGCGCCAATGTCCAGCCGACACACATGAAACATTCAAAACACCAGAGTGGAAGGAGGATTGTGATTTCTAATCTCTGAGACAAACATTCATTCGTGAATCACCTGAGGCTTGTTGATCATCACTTGTCTATCAAGAATGTCCGACTAAACAGAACAACAAATTTCATTGTTAATTGAAAAGCAAAAAAAGGAACATCGTGCTCAAATGCATCAATGACAAGCGCCATCAGATTTACCCTTAAAAGTCATTGCCTTGTTTCAAAAACTACAGAAAGGCACAACTTTGCTTATCTGTCTAACAATATACGTAAAAGTGGCCTACCCCAAGACACTCCCATAAAGGCCAAGTCAATCTTGCTGGAATGTCATAAGTGGGGGTAAAATGCAGCTCCAGGCTCCCTTAGGTGTTGGCCAAAAGGCTGAATGTCTTGGTACTCGGCCATGTGAATTCTGATCATCAGGAAGGATCGCAAGTCTGATTCGTCATTTCTCACCTTCAGCAGGAATCACATGACCAAGTGCTGAGGTCTCCACCTATCCTGTCAGCACTGAACAGAGCCTGTAGCAGCATTGTCCCCAGGAAAGTCAATTATTTCAGCCCTCTGATTTAGCCTTTCCTAGAAGCACTATTAAAAAGTGACACTAAACCCGGAAGTTCAATCTTAAAAATGCATTTGAGTCCCTTAACTATTAACAAAAATGTATCTTATTTGTGTGTCACTCGGCTGTAGATCCTCAAATCATCTCTGAATTGGTGCCGACACTGTCCTTCCTTCTGGAGGGGGCTACTTCTGTTCCCCAAGGCGCCTGTGTGTGTTGTAAAGTAGCCACCGCTCCAAGCTCACTCCTGTGATGGACTACAATCTCACGTTTAGTTTACTAATTTGTATTGAGATTGTAGTCCATCACAGGGACCATGGGGAACAAAAGTAGCCCCCCTCCAGAAGGGAGGACAGTGTCGGCACCAATTCAGAGAATAAAGTTGGTCATGCCAACATTTACAAGTGCGACCCCGTCCCAAATTTCCCATTAGTCCCGCATGTAGGGGGGGGTATTATTCTGCTAACAAAAAGCAATTTGGATTATTCTTTCAAGCTCACAGATCTTGAAGATACTCACACCAGCAAGATATCAGTATTGCAAAGAATGAGATATTCATAGGATTTCAATATGTTGCTGGACAGCTTAAAGTAGAACCCCAGTCAAAAAAGTTGGATTTAGTTGCTGTGTCACTGCTCGGCAAATTCTAACCTTCCTGCTGTTTGACTTTGCACAAGTGGTGGAAAAAATTCCTAGAGGGGGAAAAAGTAAGAAACCAAACACATTCCATATTCCTGCCCCTCGGAAATTATTTACTTGTATTCCTCCCCTGTCAAAGCTATGTGTAGGGTTAGACAAAAGCTTGCTTACTTGTCAACTGTACCCCCCCCCCCCTTCAGGAGCGCAGTGACCGCTATTTCTGAACTCAGGTCAGCCTGCATTGGGTCCTAACGAACTGGCACTGGTTGACACTTTAGCTGTTACAAGGGAGAGAATACAAGTACAGTACACACATGCCTATCTGTGACAGCTAAAGCCTGTATTACACAGACAGAAGGAAAATTAAACAATTTTGCTTTTTCCTTTATTTTTACTTAATTTTAAGTCCTTTTTAAAAGCATAGCAGATTGTGCTTTCTCTTAATTACCATACCTCCCAGTTACTGGGTACACACACCGGTATTAATGGTCAGAAATGTAGCTTTGGGATAGACCAAGCCATATGGTATTAACAAAACACACGTTGCAATGCAATTTTCCTCTGAATACCTATGTGCAGGTAGCAATAGAATGACAACGTACACGGGTAGCATGACAGAAGGAGGGAGGCAGCAATCACACAACTCGTAGCATAAAAACAACTGTTCACAGCTGACAAGGAAACTAAAATCACAAGAAAAGTTTATATTACAAAAAAAGGGGTTTCATTCGTATTTTCTGGGATAATAAACCGAATTTTGTGGCCTTAGTTTTTCTACTGCGCTGAGTCTTAAATGGAGTGAAAAAAACATTTGCCAGCAGGTGGCGCTCCAACCTCAGGGAACTTTCCAAATGTCAGACGCAACGCTCGCTCTCTGCGGAAATGAAAACATTAATGCTGCTATGATCCCTGAGCAGAAGATCCATTCCCTGCATATCTGAAGCAGCTCCTTTATTTACAATACAAACCTAACCACAGACATGAAAGAAGAAAAAAAAAGGTTGAGAATATCAAAAAGGGTTAAGGAATGAAAATACAAGGCCCCCTTTACATATATGTGGTGTGGTAAAATGGAGAGTTCTATCACATTACTGCAACATGTTACTAGAAGGCAGTTGGTGTGGTGCACTGTGACAAACGGCAGCCAATTACATGAGTGGAGAAAGCACCGCACCACAATGTGCATATGGATTGTAGTTAGTTGCTTCACAAAAAAAGGGGGTGGTGCGTTGTTTTTTGTGTTCATTGAGGTGCATTTGAAGCCCTAAAAAGGTATCCAAGGAACAAGTATGGAATGTTGCAGCTTACTGGTCCTTTGATGTGCTGGCCACATTCATTTATTCTCCTGTATTTTTCCCTTTACTTTTATCCTACCGGTAACGCACTTCCTGCCCTAGGGCGACGACACTCACTTACTGTACCCATGGAGCAGCAATGTTGTCCCAGGAGAGGAAATGTGTCAGGCCCATGTCCACACAATTTGCCGGACCAGATCTGGAACGTGCCGAGTTGCATTTTTCTTGCGATTTTACCGCTTCTTTTTTCCTTTTTTAGCTTAACATGGGCTTTCAAGTGCGTTCGTTTTTTTTGGATGAGTTTCACATTCTCGTGCATTCCCGACCAGAGAAAATGAGACCAGCAGTATTTTTTTGTCTGGTCCAGAATGGACTGCACTGGTGTGAACAGCACCCAGAAATACAATAGGGATACATTGGGATGCTTTTTCGATCCAGGAACACACTGTTCTGGTCTGGACATGATATGAACAAGCTCCCAGGACAACAAAACACCCCCTTACTCTCCAGAACATGGGGGAAGACGCTCTGTAGTTGTGAGGTGACTTGTGCAGGGCTGATAAGACTTCTTAAGAAAGTGATGCAGAGACCATAGCAAGTTATGAGCTCACAATGTCTGGCAGGAGCAATCAGAATTTTCTTTTCTTGAAATAAACACTTTAAATTATATATTCAACAAGCCAAAAAGGAGCAAACAAGAGCGGTTCATTGTTGGAGTTTGCATTAACTGTAACACAATACCACATATGTTATGGTGCACAACTCTGATTTCAGTCCCAACGAAATGAGCGTTTGTCTTCTAAGCAGTGCGCCATTGGGGGAAAGCCTTGTTGACTAGTTCCACCAATCAGAATCCTTCATTCGTTTTTACTAGACGGTACTACAGAAATGATATGGTCACAGATTGTAGACAGCGCCATCTTTTTCAAAGGTCATTCCAAGCCGATACATCACTTTTCATAGGATATGAGCTGGTGGAATAATCTCACCTTATCCATCTCTAGGGAACTGCCAGCTCTACCCACCAGCCTTAACATACAGGGGGGAATTTATCAAAACTGGAGCAGATAAAATCTGGAGCAGCTGTGCATGGCAACCAATCAGCTTCTTTCTTTCATTTTTAAATCTTAACTGAACAAACTGAAGAGAGAAGCTGATTGGTTGCCATGCACAGCTGCTCCAGATTTCCCATGCATCCCACATCATGGAGAACCACATCATGGAGAACCACATCATGCAGCCAGGTGGCAGCTACTGAACACCTCACAAAGGGTCAAATACCTGCAGTGGTCAGGGAGAAGCAAAGTGGCGGGGTTTAACCACACGGGCTCCCTTTCCATTTACAGGGTGTGCATCTTTACAATGCAAGTTTATGAGGCCGGCAACCTACCAAAACAATGCCCTCCCTGGGCGGCTGATATTTTACTACAAATGTTCTGCGGGAATGCTGAGCAATGTCAGTGAAAATCGAGAACTACCCCAACCAATAACAAAAACATATAGAAAAGCCAATAAAAATGCAAATGTCATATCCAAAATGCGGTTATATTAGCTCAAAATACACTATGCATTCCCTTGTCCAAATGATTTTATCACTTTAAATCAGAGAAAAAACATTCCAGGTGCATCAAAACTGTGGAAGCAGTGGTCTCCCTGCAAAGGTCCAACACATCCCCTGCTGAGTCAGTTGCAGAGCTCTCCAACCAGCAAGGCGGCTTTGCTGATTGCCGATCTATAGATCTGGCTCAGCAGGGTTGGGGTGTTGGGACCATGGTAGCGAGACCACTGCTTCCAGACAAAGAGCAAGAGTCTTTCCCCACCACATGCTGGCAGGAGACTTTTCTACTCTTTCTAAAGAAAATGACTTTGCAAATCATTTGTTTTACTATTAATATTTTGTACCTGTATAAATTAAATGGACTTGGTCATAAAGCATCAAAACCTGTGTACAAAGACTTGGGACACAAGCTATCCTGCACTGGCTTGCATGATGTACTAGTTTCCAGGTCAGGAAAGCCACTAACTTGAAACTATATAGAGCCGCCACCCTCGTCCCCACCACAAAAAAATGAATGCATCAACCTGAGGTATATCACACAAGTATACCCATCACTCCTACAGGAAACCTCATTTGCCCCGGGAATAAAGCTTAAAAGGGAGTGGCCGAAGTTTAGGACATTTAAAGCACAACTTAAAGACTTAGGCTGCTGAGCACTATACACAAGAAGTGGGCTTACTCTGATCCGGCGGCCATGTCTGAGTAGGATGTATCTGGTGTGGTGACTCCCAGAGGGATTACAATGCTCATGACGTCCGGCACTGCGGTCGGAGAGAATCACGGGGTCGGAATCGCAGCGACTGACCACACCGAAGGCGGGGAGCCGCAAAGACGCGAGAGACACTTCACGGACATTAGGAGACCTGGAGAGGAAAAAGAAGGTTGGTTAACAAGGTGCGTATACACTTCCAGGGTTATTCACTAAAGGGTAAAGAGTTTGGAGAAGGCCGGAGAAGTGAACAATCTAGCACAACATCGCTGAACTGCAAAGTGAGCTGAATTGAAGAATTTTTCCAAATCCGCTATGTTGTCCTAGATTGTTCACTTCTCCGGCCTTCTCCAAACCCTTCACCCTTTTGTGACTAAATCTGTTAAAGGTTTGCAACAATTCCTTTAATGCATACTATAAATTAGGGGTGGGTAAACTCTGGCCCTCCAGCTATGACGCAACTACAAATCCCCCATCAGGCATTGCAGGATGCATGCATGGCTTCCAGAGGCGACTGCTGGAGGGCCACAGCTTGCCTATCCCTGCTATAAATTTTTATTTTCGAAAAGACTCCCAGGAAAAATGTGCGCAATTTCCCACATTTAAAAGCAGCATATGCTGTACAAAGTTCACCATTCACAGGAACCTCTGCCCCAGTGGCCCCGACAGTCTGATGTCCCCATCATACCCACAAGCGTGCTCTCAATGTAGGCGTTTTACCACACCGCAATCAGCTCAGAAATCACTATTTATAAGTGTCAGGGTATTTCACAACTGGAGGTGGTCACATTTTGTAATGCTCTCCAAAACAAGCAGACACAAATATTTATCACCAAAAACAAATCACTTCATTTCAATAGACAAGAGGGGGGAAAAAAAACAGAACTGTGATTCTTTTGTTAGGCTGGGTTCACACCTACGCGATTTATTGCGCGGATTTAGCTGTGCAATATCGCACAAAACAGATTTCCATATAAGTCTATGAAAACCGGTCACACCTTTGCGATTTGTTGCGTGTTAGAAATCGACTTTTGTGCAAAAAAGTTCCGGCTAGCTTAACACCTGGGCGATTGAGATGGTGTGCCTGTCGCGCAAAAAGGTGCAGGATCTATTTTTGGGCGGTTGTTGCACGGTTTGGGTCCCATAGACATCTCTATGCATTGAAAACCCGAAAATAGCTCCTGCATCTTTTTGCACGACAGGCTATTTCTACTGCGCGTCAAAGCGCAAAAGGTATGAACGGCTTCCATGGACTTGAATGCAAATCTCTGTTTTGCGCGACAAAACACGTAGGTGTGAACTAGGGATGTCCCGCTACCACTTTTTCAGGACCAAGTACAAGTACTTCCCCTAATGTACTTGCCGATACCAATTACCGATACTTTTCCTTAAAGGGACAGGTGACATTTTTTGCATGCGCAATAACACGCTTTTTACTGTCTCACCAGAAATGACGACTTTGGCGGATACAATGGCTGGTCTGATAAAACTAAATGTGTGACCCCTCTGAGCCAAGGTACTAATCCCCAACAGCTGCCCCCCCTTCTCTGATTCAGAGTCTTCCGACCTGTCTGTACCCGCTGACTGCCCCGACCTGTCTGTGCCCGCTGACATCTCTATGCATTGAAAACCGCGTGGTTTTCAAAAGCAAAAATCGCCCAAACAAAAACAGGCGAAAACAGCTCACCAGCGCATTTGCTTCGGTGTGAGCCTAGCCTTAGGAACGCGGGTTTATTGCAACGAAAAGGGGTGACTGTTGGGTATAGATATTACAAACTGTGCACTGTCCTCTGCTCGGGAAGTCATTCATGAGCCAATTCTCACAACAAACTTCTAAAACAGGGCCGAGACCAGTGCTTTTTTACACATTCGCTCATTATCAACAGTGCTAAATATATTTTAGGTAGATTTGAGATATTGTGCACATTAAAATTTGGCATTCTAATTTTCGGCCAACAGGGGGCACTTTAGACTATTTTTTAAAAATGTTTTCCAGTTTCTCTTTACTTCCTGTTGCAAAAAGCCTGATATTCAAAGAGTAAGAGCTCCAGCTGAATAAACATCACTTTAAAAATGTTATGGGGACCTGAAGCCTTAAAGTGAAGATCTGCCATCCTGAAAGGGAACATCTACAACTGTTTAAGGTGCTCAGGCGGTACCCTGAAAAATCAATCTTTTCTTTTTAATTTCTTCTGAATACCACCAGAGCACTTCCTGTGCCTGGTCACTCTTGTGATCTTGCTGCACGACAGAATTTGCCAGTGACAGGATTGCTAGAAAATGCAGGGAGAACACTCACCTGCTTTCTATGCATCTCCCCTCGTTGGATTTGGGAAAATGCAAGTGCCGGAGAGAGAGACACACTTGCAAGAAGGTAAGTTTCAATGCCCTCGTGTCCTCCAAAGTGATCTGGCCACTGCTGTGTTGTCACCAGCAACAGTATCACTAATCTTCTGCATCTGTGACATTGGCCTCCACGCTGTATTGCTGCAGTGTGACATTGGCCTCCACGCTGTATTGCTGCAGTGTGACATTGGCCTCCACGCTGTATTGCTGCAGTGTGACATTGGCCTCCACGCTGTATTGCTGCAGAAGGCGGCATCCCAAGGCTTCGGCCACTTGAATGTCCAGGGCTAGATGAGGTACCTCCGGCATATGCATGTCAGTTTTAGATTTTCACTTAACCTCCTTTTTAAAATAAAAATGCAATGGATCTAAAACCGTTAGTTCCCCTTTAAGATACCTTCCTATACATGTGGATGAACTGCATTGAGGCAGCAATACCGAAGAGACCTAGGTAGGCCTATCACATTATATTCTGGGATGCAGCATTGAATAGGAAGGCTATCTGGGGCCTGAATCTGTCACGTGTGTTCTATATACAGAGTTTGTTTTTATTCATACGTTTCCATTATTATTGTTAAAAAAAGGGGGGAAAAATGGAATATTTAGGAGGTAAATGATAATTTTACAACCGGGCTTTGTAGCTGCATGCTCACTTACCACCCCTGACAGTCGAAGATATTTTAGGAAGGTACCAGATTTGCCGTCTTTCCTGCCCAATAATTAGCATGGTTGATGTGACGTATTAGTGAAATATACAGCAAAGAAAAATATACAGCAAAAAAAACTTGTCTCCTTAAAGCAGGGGTAGCCACACTCCGGCCCTCCAGCTGTGGTGAAACTACAAATCCCCTGATGCATCTCTCTATGGGAGTCATGTCTGTGAGAATCTTGCAATGCCTCATGGGATTTTTTTAGTTCCACCACAGCTGGCGGGCCGGAGTTTGGTTACCCCTGCCTTAAAGGGTCCATTTAACAAGATTTTGGTGACTTAAACAACCTAGCAATTTTAAAATGTCCCGTGGGATTTGCGGTGGTGAGATCCTTGTGTTCAAGTTCCCGGCTCTCCATAGCTGCCATGGCAATTACAGGAGGCGCCACTTCCCATCGGATTCACTATTTACATTAAAATGGACAAAGCAGGAGTTGCAACACCCCATCATTGTCAAAGTATAAACCATGAGGTGCTACACTAGGTCAAATTTGGTTAATTTACACAACACTAAGGGATGTATTTATAATTGTACATAGAGCTATTTGCTCTGCGAACATCTATTGAAAATTTGCATCACATTGTGGCCACTGGAAGGGAATTTCCCATGCTCATTGGCTCCATCTAGTGGCCAAAATGTGGCTTGAATCTACAACAAGTTCTCAGAGCGAAGAGCTCTGCAAATGTTTTATACATACACCCCTAACTATGCAAATACCATTGTGTTGAGAGAGAGAGTGAGAGAGAGGGTGAGAGAGAGGGTGAGAGAGAGGGTGAGGAGAGAGAGGGTGAGGAGAGGGAGAGAGAG